TTAATTATTTTAAAAGAGCTCATTCTACTTAAAATCTCAGGTTGATGTCACCGTTGCTCCCAATCTGGCTTGTCTAATACTTGATTAAGCTGTGCTTGAACACTGGAGTCGAGAGCATCGCCACAGTAACCCATGAACAGAGCTTATATTCTTGATTTCTTTTTACTTTTTATAATTGCAAAAAAAAAAAAAAAAAAACCCTACAGCATCCTAAGCGTACAGCAGAAGTTCAGAGGACTCTAACATTGTTTAGTTTTAAGACCAAAAAATGGAATAGTTTGTTGGTGTGGTAGTAGGTTTTACATGCCTATATAAGGAAAGACACATTTACACTGTGCCAACAGCAATCATATCTTAAGTCCCCAATTAAAATGTGACTTTTTAAACTCCAAAACCCCATGTGACTGTTTTAGCCATCTGTTTAATGAAACAACCACCATTGATTTGGGCATAGATAATTATTACAATAAGAACAGTGCTGGGGAAAGATCAACTTGTCCCAGTTGAGTATGACAGTTAATTATGAAGAGATAATTAGTGACGGCTAGTTAGCATTATCTCATATCCAGGAAAGAAATAGGTAACAAATCTCAGTCTAGGTATAGATCATGTAGAATATGTGATTGTATACATCTTTGAATAATTATTTTAATATATCTAAGATATATACTAAATAGTAGATTTACCAAGCTATATTCAACTGGAAGGAGCAGTGTTGTTTTCCATAAATTATCTATTGAACTCTTTGCATTTTGGTGAAATATTATTTCAAGTTATTACAGTGGAAGCTTTTGTGTTTTATGGCCACTCTTACTGGTGTAACAAGGAATCTACAGCATTTATCCCTGGTGGAACCCATGACTACAGCCCTTAACACACTGACAGGAAAACACTAAAGAGATGATTTTAGAATAAGCTTTCCACTAGTAAATGTCACGAAGGAAAGGGGAGTTCCCATGAATATGGTTCTGAGAACTCATAAATAATAGTTTTAAATTTCTCTGTGATAACACTGCTTTTATAAGGAGCAAAATTGATTAATTTCCTTCTCACTCTCTTGGTCTAAGTACTTTTGATTTGTGAAACAGATAATAGCCACACCATGGAGGAAAAATAAGCAAAAGACTTTCATATTTAGTATCATATAACCGGGCATAGCATAATTGAGCTCTGTGTATATTGACGAGCATCGGCATTTATTACTGGCTCATCAATATTAGAACCAAGGGGATTTTTACCAGGATTGCCTCACAGGAGAGAAAGAACTTCTCTGCCTGGCTCCTGATTCTGGTTCTGGGCATGAAACTAAGCTTTATTATGTGTCATGTACAGTAATTTCTTGGCACTTCTGGTTGCTCCAACGTGAAAATCTTGTGAATTTAGATTGCGTCAGTTTAGAACATGTGATGGAATTTAGATAAGTTCCATTTTATCATGCCATTAATGAAGAAGAGTTTTAAAGAATTAATAGGAAGCTGTTTTAGGAGGATTTTGATGACTTTAAGAGAAGAATTTTAGGAAGACCGTAATATATTCTTCATTTCAATGCATAATGGAGTTAGCTGTACATGGACTCCTCTGGAGGAATGTGTAGTGTTTAAGAGCTCCAGCTTTCTTTAAACCCACTGAGGCCTTCATTGTAAAATGACAATAAACTTTACTAGGGATTATTAGTCCCAGTTTATCATCAGACTTAAAGATGAATTCAGGTGTTTCCACACCATAGCTGTGTGATCTTGGGCAAGTTATATAGGACTTTAATTTGGGTTTCTTTAAAATGGGTGATATAAGTACTTTTTCTCAAGGGTTGTTTGGAAGAAATTAGATAATGAATCAAAGATTTTTGTATTAATGCTTCCACATCTAAGCACTCAATATGAGTTATGTATTATTAATATTTATCTTAAGATTACTTTAGAATGAATAGTACTGGTTTTCTCCTTAGAGGTACGTATTTTATCATGTATTTAGGATATTGTAAATTCCTTGAAAAATACATATGTATCTATTAAAATGTAATATAGATTTTATTCATTCATTCTGCCCTTCTCTCCAATGAGCTTGAGTCAGGTATAATTGTAATACAGACATGTAAAGGACTAACTTTGGTCTGCTTATTTTTGGTTGAGCCAACATTTTATATATAAGGATTTTTCCTAAAATATTTTATGTTATTAATAATAAATTTTGTAGAAGTACTAAGTATACAACAGAATTTAGGAGAGTGGAAGAGTTGAGAATTGGGAGACATGAAACCTGGCTTCTATTTCTAGCTCAATTTGTCCTTAGGCAAAAAAGTTTCTTCAAACTTTAAGGAAGAAACTGTACTGAATGATTTATATGACCATTTACAGTTATCGGATTATGATTCTACAGTAAACTCAGAACAACTCTATTTTCAAAATTATATTGTTTAACTTCTGGCCATGTCTAATCACGTATCTTTGCTTCTACTGATTTTTTTCACTTAATAGGAAAGAGTACATGATTGCTTTATCTTGAAGTTGACTTTTTTCCCAAAATCTTGAAATAATGAGGTTATCCAGTGACCTTAAAAAATATCTAGTTCCACTCAGCTGGGAAATTATTCTATTTTCTGAGAAGACCAATTAAATATATTTGGGAAAAACCCAACTGTGTCATTTTCTCCAAGAAGGAAAGTATATAAATTATTACACACAGTAACTTATACTGTTCTAGTAAAAGTCATTTCCCATTTTGTTTTTAAATATTAAAAAAGAATTTGAAAGGAAATGCTACCAAATCATTTTAATTAAAGAGATATTTTACCTTGTATTCCCTCTGTTCAACAAACTATTAGGTGTTTAAGGAATGTATGTGTTTATTACTACAATTTAGTCAGCTTAATGAAGCTCCATAGCCTTACATATTTCTAATTTTGAATAGAGGTACCAGGTAAAGAGAAAAAATAAAAGGAATGAAGAACAGAAATATGTCTCTGAATTTCATGTGCCTATCAATAATTGGATCGGGAAAATAGAGACTGCTGATATTTTATTTAGCTTCTGTTAATTCAATCCCTAGACCTAAATGAAGTGTCTAAAGATGTAGTTTATAAAGGTGTGAACTCTCACTTCTATTTGAACAATGCTAGCTACAATGAAATAAATGATTTTTTTATAATGGAATGTTCTTATTGCCATTTTTCCTATAACACTGTTGCCTCAAAACATAATTCAGTTGAGAAGAACAACGTTGTGTAGCCAGTTCCCATGGGGTTTAGAGTATAATTTTGAGCCATGTTATGGCCATCTTTTAATGAAACACTGATTTTTGTAGCTTAGTGTATTTTCAGTTCTGAGCTAGACTATCTTATCCATAGTCAATGAAGTACAGAATGAAATGAATCAATATGCATTTTGAAATGATATATACACCTTTATGACAATTTAAATATTTTTTAATGTTTACCTCATTTGACCCTCTCTGTTCCCAACGCACAGTCCTGGCTTTGTAATTTCCATCTCAAAACTATTCTTCCTGCTACCTCAGGGGGCCTCTTTCTTTTCTTCCTTTTGCAAAAACGACATTCCAAATATCCTAATGCTTCATTGTCAAAGTTGTCTACCTATCATTTCCATCGTCTCACAGGGTTAGCAGGTGGAGACTGCACCCTATACCCTTCCTACCTTTTGCCTACAGAGGCTACTTTGGAGGTGGAAACATGGGGGAGTCAGGTGAGGCGGCAGCAGAAATTGCTTCCTAGTTCAAATAAAGTCAAAGCTTGGTCTCTTTCTGTACTGAACAAATTCTACTGTAGAGTAGCTATTAAAACACTGTGGTCTGAATTTAGTTGTTCTAGAATATTGTTTGAGATAGAAATGCTGTGGTTCAGTGTGCTAATGCACATCATACATGCCAGAGTTAGCAAAATGAATCAAGTACAATAAAGGCATGCTCACATTCATTTACAAAAATTAATTAAAAGATCTCTATTAGTTGGGAGGCCTCTAAGAAATATGTATGGCATCCATACATATTTTGGACTCAGGCTTTGAAAACCCTAAGATGGCACACCATTATATATGCTAGATTGCTAAAAGATGCTTACTTTGTCATTTCATATTTTGCTGTCTCATCTCGTTTAATTTTTACATTACTTATCTATCATTTGCTTATCATAATTTTTTTAAAAACTGTCTGGTATCATTAAGTACTTCATCTTTCAGTTAGATAATTTTTCATGTAATTATGGGAAAAAATGGAAAACTTTTCTGATTATCACAAATGATATGGAGAATCACAAACAATTTGTAGTTAATTAGGAGCTTAGTCAGGGGGTTAATGAGTTTCTACATGGGCTACACAGAAGATGGATATCCAACATGTACCTCTTACACTAATAATATTGACACATATTTTATAAATAAAACAAAGCATGTAGGCACACATGCACATCTCACATCTAGAACACTGAATTTTTGTTATAGCAAAATTGTTCTAGGACCGAAGTTTTAGTTTGTTTTTAAGCTAAAGTAAGGTGTTTTTTATAAGAATTTTAATCACATCAGTTGTGTCACAACTCAGACTGTAAATAATAATTCATATTAAGATTGTTTGACATGGTCTGAGTGTCTGTCAGTTTTTCCAACTGTTTCGGCCCTGTCACTTGTTTTTGTTTTGTTTTGTTGTGCATTGTCATATGTTATAAGAGAATTAAAGGACTTGTTTTACTTGCAAAACCCAGTCAGCAGTTTTACCACTGCCTGTTCAAACTCCAGCTTAATGGCCCAGACTAAACACTTGTGACAAAGGAGCTGTGGGAATGGATGATGGATCTGTAGCAACTCTAGCTTTAACCTCTAACTAGCTTTCATTGTTCATCTTTGCAATTTCCATTTCCTCTTTCTATTGAAATCAGTTGAGTTGAAATACATGGATACTCCTGCATATCCTATGAGATCTTCTGAGTATAGCATTGGACTGTTAATGATACTGTTAATAATTTTTTCATGTTTTTTTCTCTCTTTTTTTTTTAGTCTCGACCTATTCCTTCCCACCTTACTTCAGCAGTTGCAGAGAGTATCTTGGCTTCAGCCTGTGAGAGTGAGAGTAGAAATGCCGCCAAGAGGATGCGTCTGGATAGACAACAGGTACTGAGGAGTCTTGGGGTCTGGTGACCACCAGCTATAGCAAATATGGTTAAGTTAATCTGATTTATGGAGAAGAGCAGAGTCTCTGGAATGGATTTAAAGTCCACAGAGATATCGTTTTTCTGTCTTTGTGATATGAATTTAAACTTGAAAAAGGCATGTCCATGAGGTCAGTAGAGATGCAATGATAAAAATTTCCTGCGATGAAAAATGGACAGTTGTAAAATTAATGAGTTAAAATTCTGTTTAGTATCCAATTTGAAGGCTAATGACTTATTTAAATAAGAGGCTCTAAATGATCATTTACAGTAGTTTTGTAAGTTTACCTGATCGTTTACAATAGTGACCTGATTATGGTCTTTTTGAATGAAAATGAACCTCTCTTTAATTTCCTCTGGTCCAGTGCCAAATATCAATAGATCATGCTAAGTATGGGGAAAACACAACATAACCTTGAAGACCAGAAAGCCATAAAATGGGGGTATAAAATAAGGAACATCTGTGTCCTGGGCTTACCTTCACATTAACAAATCATTTACTGTATAACCATTAAGTATCATCTTTCTACATCTCTTTGCTAAGGCTGTATATCCATGTGATGTAGATGTACTCATGCGGCGTGCGGACTTCTCATTGCGGTGGCTTCTCTTGTTGCGGAGCATGGGCTCTAGGCGCCCGGGCTTCAGAGTTGTGGCACAGGCTTAGTTGCTCTGCGGCATGTGGGATCTTCCCGGACCAGGGATCGAACCCGTGTCCCCTGCATTGGCAGGAGGGTTCTTAACCACTGTGCCACCAGGGAAGCCCAAGACTTTTGTCATTATTATATCTCTAAAATTTATCTTGCTTAAAATAAGTTACAGGCCAATATATAATACCATATTTAGTATAGTGATTAAGACTGCATATTCTGGAGTTAAATACAACTGATTTTGATTTTCAGCTGTACCCTTACTAACTGTGTGACCTTCAGGAAATTATTCCAATTCCCTGTGCCTAGTTTTCTCATATGTAAAATAACAATAATAACAGTACTAATCTTACTGGGGTGTGTGAGAACCCTGAATGATAGATTTATGTTAGGTACTTAGCGATTTGCCTGGCATGTGGTAAGCATCAAGAAAATTCAGCCTAGAGAAAGTTATTTTAATTGATGTTCTAGCTTTTCTGTCATTGCATTGGTATCAGTAAGACTATAAAGAAGCATTAATAGTACTATCTCAGATATAGGGGTTTTGAATTCAGACTAAGTCAATTTGAGAAAAGATCATTATTCTAGAAATCAGAATAGTAGAATTCTGGGATTGAAAGGAATCTCCTGGTTGTCAGTTCGCTACATACCTCATCCAATCTATACTCTAGAATATCCCTGAATCATAGAATCAATCATATGTGCAGTTGTTATGAAAATTAAATGACAGATTCATGTTATGTACGGCCTACAGTCTCCTTCTACAAGTTGCCTAAAGCTGGTTGTCCACAATATTTGGTCTAATCACTTAACCACTGTTGACCTAATCTGTAAAATGGAGGATACAAATGTATAGTTATTTCTTCTTACTGTGAATTATATAGACTTCACTTGGCATGCAGCACAAAGGCTTCTACCAAGTGGATTTTACACTTTCATCAAAGCATGGAGATGTGGGAGCAGGAACTCCCCTAATTGGATCTAAACACTCTTTGCCTAGGTAGAGACAACCAGAGTTCTTTTTGGTGTTGGCAGTGGTATCATCCTTTTCTAGGCACATTCTTAACCCAACTCACAATTCTTAGAATTTTCCAGTGACTCAAAGATTCTTCATTGTGTCCCTGCCTTTCTGTTGGTGCATGAAAGTTCAGAAATGAGACAGTTATAATCTAAATTCTGTTCAGCTGCACACATGACTACTTGCTGCCCCTGGTTAGCCATATGTAGGGCTGTAATTATATGTGTCCTTCAGAGCTTATGAAACTTGATAAATTAATTGGGCTTTATAAAGCTATAAACATGAAATGTACTATGGATGTGTTAAATACTTTATTTCATATGTCCACCTTGCCCCAGGGTCTAGAGGAGGCAGCCTCAGTCCTGAAGCAAGTAGGCAAGGGCAGGAGCCTACTGTCTCATTAGGAATCAGATGACTCAGGGCTGAGGTCAGTCCCCAGTGCATTATAGAATATACTCAGCATTTCTTTCCTTTTCTTTTCTTTTCTTTTATTTATTTATACATTTATTTATTTATTTAATACATTTATTTATTTATTTATTTTTGGCTGCTTTGGGTCTTTGTTGCTGCTCGTGGGCTTTCTCTAGTTGCGGAGAACGGGGGCTACTCTTTGTTGCGGTGCATGGGCTTCTCATTATTGGGGAGCATGGGCTCTAGGTATGCGGGCTTCCATAGTTGTGGCTCGCGGGCTTCAGTAGCTGTGGCTCTAGAGTGCAGGCTCATTAGTTGTGGAGCATGGGCTCAGTTGCTCCATGGCATGTGGGATCTTCAGGGCTCGAACTCGTGTCCCCTGCATTGGAAGGTGGATTCTCAACCACTGTACCACCAGGGAAGTCCCAGCGTTTCTTTTCTTTTAACATGAAAATCTGGAATTTTTATGTTACCCAGGAAATCTTTTTTTCACTTTGGCAATTCAAAAAGATGGGCAGAGTCAGACTTCACATTTCTATTGCTATGACATAGCTCAAATTGTCTTTAACTTTGTTATTTAGATATTATTTCACTACTGTTTACTTACAAACAAATCTATCTCAATGATTTTGGCTACAGTTCATCTCACCAGAGAGACAGAGGCAGAAAGTGAGAAAGATTAGAAACATCCACTTGCTGGTCATTTATCCCCCATCACTTTGTACTTGCTGTTTTTGAGGAATGACATATATTCTATTCCAAGGCTTGTTGAAATTTCTGATTAATGTGAGGGTTCCTTTGGCTTCTTTTCTCTATTTAAGTTCTTTCAGTTAAATTAGCTTTTAGTTTTAGAGAAGGGGTCACGTAAAACCAATGGTCAAGGGCTTCCTCGGCAGATCCAGCCCTCATGAAGAACAATGCAGCACGAGTGTGCTGGGTGACTGTTTTTGCGGTGACTGGGACAGATGGAAAATCAATGGTAGGCTGTGATGTGACACCTTTGACTACTGAAAAGAACACCGTAGGGGAAAAGGGGAACTGGCATGTTAGTTGCTTGTGACATAATAAAAGGTGAGAAAGCAGGGGAAAAAATACTGAAAACTGATGGATCACTGAGTTAAAGAAGAAAATCGCTATTAGTAAACCAACAGAAAACCATTGGTCCAAGACCATAAAATACTTAGTAAGCCCACAGTTCCTGCTACTCTGTTTTCTATAGTACTGGTGAATTCTCTGTGACCCTCTGTGACCTCTTCCTGATTTTTCCTTTGTTCTGTTAGGGTGCTAATGAGTGTTATTAAAATAAACATAATGGTAGATATCAAGGTTGAAAATATAGCCACACAAGCACGATAATACAGGCATTTCATTTTGTCATGGATGTATTTGAAGACTACCGAAAACACCATGGTCAAGCTGTTTTTGAGTCAGGCAGCTCTCCTTTCATGTTTCCTTCTGTATTTGCATGTGCTTTTAGTAACGTTTATAAAATTTCACAAATGCATAATCGAAAGAAATATTTTTCAGTAGGATTTTATGCTTAAATGTAAACATTGTGATAGTAACTGAGATAGGGTTTGAAACCTATTTCTGTGGCCTTCCAGCCCACACTCCCTTACCCCTACTCTCAGTCATCCTCGGCTTTCATTCTACTTCTAGCATTTGTCTTTCTTATATACAATATTTTGGAGAAAGAAAACTCTATCTTTGAGTGTTCCAAAATGTGTTTCAGCACAGCCCTCTCATCCAAAGGAGAAAAAATATAAGAGAAACAAAGTACCACCTAGAGTAGTTCCTTGGATATATCGTATTTCCTCTGTAACACATGTAATTTTAAACAATTGAAATAGAATATACTTCACAAGTCATCTAACTGTAATAGGCCTTATTTTCTTCATTAGTAATAATATTAATAACAACAGAACAGCAGGAACGTGTATGGATGAAGCACTCTTTGAGGTGGGTTGCAAGCCTATTTTATGTAACCGTCATCGCTTTTCATGAAGTGGAGACATTGAGGCTTAGAGCTCTTAGCGCAGAGCTGCTCAGGATGGATCCCCACTTGGATCCAGTCCTTGTGCTTTTTAAAATCATGCTTATAGTAACATTTAAAAAAAATACTTTCAGACATGCAGGCTTATTTTTGATAATTTAGGAAATAGAGTAACGTATAGAGAAGAAATATAATTGACTAGTAATTCCGCTATTCAGTTTTATAATATAATTCTTTCTACTACTCTATCTATGCAAAACTTCCTGTTTTAAAAAGCAAAATAGTATCACATTGTATGCTTCCATTTAGCTTAATGTTGTGAATATTTATGGTATCACTATGTAAGTTTATCAATTATTTTTAGAAGCCCCTTAATACTCCATCATGTAGTATTTTCTAAATTATTAAATGTTGATTTTGTTTTTCCTACAATAATTTGCCTATGAAAAGGATACCTTGCCAGTTATTTTTTTAGGATAAATTATGAGACCTGGATCAAAAACCAGCAAGGCTTTTTAAGCTCTTGATATATATAAGGTCCATGCTCTTAATTTCTACCTTATTCCTATAAAAATAAGCGTTTCTGCTTGTTTTATAAACATATGCCTATTAAAAGCTTTTTTTTAACTTCTAAGAATCTTTGATTCTTAACCAGTGGTTCCTAAACCTTTCAAACATAGCCTGTCTTTTTTACAGTAAACACCTCGAAATGCCCCACTTTTAGATCCTGAAATCCAATTTATAGTTAATATAAATTATGCTCACAATTTAAATATGTATGGATAATGTCTTGATTTTAATATAAATAATACATTATTTATTTTAAAAGTAATATATAATCAAATAACATGTATTTTGGTGTGGAAATATGGGGATTCCACATCACTAGA